TCATGAATTTGGGTGCCATATTTTGGTTATCTTGTTGTGGTAGTTAATTTTCTCTGTTCATTTTGGTTTTGTACAAATTCACCCAGGTTCCTGTGTCCATCAATATTGAGGCTTATGACCCTTCTTACATTACAGAACAAGTGAAGTTAAAAGCACAAGAATTAAGGTGTGCTTCTGACATCCTCTTCATGATGAAATCCTTTGCGGCTTCTTTATAATGGCCAATATTCATTCAATCCAATTTCAATTTTATTTTTGGTTAGCCCTTTAGTAATCAATACTTGTTAGTCTTGCTTTTTTTCTGTTTGAACTCTTCAACCTTTTTTCTCTCTATAGTGAGACAATTGCCATACTGAATATAGCTTCAATTTGAGAGGTTTTTGTCTTTGCAAATTGAGTCTTCTGTGAAACATGTTAGTCATAGTTCAATGTTTGTTTTTTGGATGCTGAATGTTGAGACAGTTACAGTAGTTCAAATGTGGAATTATTGTTGTTGTCATCATTTTTGTTGTTTCTTTTCTATTATTTATTGTACGGGGGCGAAATATCCTCTGCTTTCCGTACTCCTTGGAGTCCAAGCTTCACGTGACGGCGTTTAACCTGGTAACACAGAGAACGGTGAGCTGCCCGGCGGTGGTGTGCCGGATAGACCCTCCGACGACCAAGTCAGATCACTTGAGGAAGAAGAAGAAGGCCGTTAGAGAGAGAGTATGTTTTTTGATGGCATCAATTGCTTACCTCTAACGTTTATCTTCCCCTCCCTTTTCTAGGCTGGCCATGCAGCCTCAGGATTGTGCGCGCACTACCTCTGCTGTCCTTCCCTGGACAGGTGGCGGTGCTCGCCTCCCACCACCCTACACGTGTAAAGGCCAAATCCTCCATCCAGTACATGCAAAACTGCCAAACGGTACTGACACGTACCTGGAGCAGATATCCTCCCCCTCACGCCATTGGCTCAAGTGGCACACCTGACCGGCATACCAAGACTGGTCTATTCCTTGGGAGAAAATCACAACCACAAAGAACATGACCGAGCTTCCAAGCTATCCAGTTGGGCGCACGCCGACCTCTTCCCGGCCTAGACTCTTTCCGGACTGTCATCTGCTCGGTCGCGCCGTGCTAACGCACGCCTACCGCCGAACGCCTAACAGTCACAGCTCGGCCAGGCCTTAGACCATGCCTGGTCGGAAAACCTACCTCGACCGTGTAAGACAGGCCGGAGGGCCGTGCCGATCGAGGAGATAGCTCGGCACCGAGAGGTTTGCGACACCTGCGCTACCGTAGCTCGGCCATACTGTCCGGTGCAAATCTACCCTCTCAATTGCCCCTTAATCCCATCCGAGCTAATCGTGATTGGGGTTACCACCGTGACCGAGCTAACGATCCCTGAGTTGCGCCAGTACCAAGCCGAGTGTGATTGGTTTCGAAGCCGTTACCGAGCTATCCTATTTGGTCGGTCCTTGCTTCAATAGTCTTGTCAAGGGTCGTACAGCCGTATTGACAGAGTCGCCTTTGTGGTGCCACGTAGCCTCACGCCATTAGTGACGTGCAGCCCTACAGCTGTCTTTTCGTGCGCGAAATTCAAATGACTGCCGCCCATTGGCTTTCCCACCACTTTTATACACATAAACGAGGGGTCAAACACCCTCCACTGTTCATCTCCAACCACGAGCCCCCAAACCCTAGCTCTCAAGACCTCCCAACTTCTGCCATTGCTGCCGTTGTTGCCCCTTTGCCTCCTCTACATCCGTTTTTGCTCCCTCAGGAGCTGCAATTGAGCTCGTGATTGACTGATCCCTCCTTGGACTCCGTCGTCGGTAAGCTCCTTCCCCCTTGTTCTTCGTGTTCTTCATGTTTTCAAGCCTGTGTTCTTCGTGTTCGTCATGCACTTTGTTTAGGGCAATAGTTGCATACCCTAGGAAGAACTAGAACTGGAATCGGAAAAGCAGATGGGGCTCTCATGCCCCTTGTTTCTTTGAGTAAAATGTACCAACTTTGAATCTAGGATGAACAACCTGAATCTGGGTAGGACAGAGCTAAATAGGTAACTTGGATCCATAAATAAGACTTTAGCCGAGCAAAGATCAGTTTGCGGCTTCCCGTTGAGGCCGCGACCGAGCTGGATATAGGGAGTCATAGCCGAACTAGGAGGGCCATATCGGCCGGATAGACGAGCCAAGATAGGGGGTAGACCGGCCACATATAACCTGGATTTTGATTGAGCTAGGAGAACAAATAGGAGCCGTGCAATTTATGCCGCGCTAACCCTTAGTCTTATTTTTTAACAATGCAGAACTAGGACCGACCAGGCCCCTACAGCATTACCACTGGTGGAGCTTAAAGTCCGAGCAAATACACCAAAATTTTCTGCCAAGATACAAATTAAACCACCAAATAAGTAAAACCGAGGTAGATGGGGAAATACCGGTTCATAGTGAGCTCGCCTGGTGCACTAGCCGAGTTTCGTAAGGAGTACAACGTTCTAGACGATGTTCATTTAGAGCTGGCCAAGAAGGGAGATACCCCATGGGGTGACCTAGATCGGTGCCCCTTCACGACCGTATCCATCGTGGAAGGAGGGCTTCGCTTCCTGGTCCAACCCTTGATCTGTGAATTTTTGAGGTAGACAAGGCTGACCCAAGTCTCGAACAACACGTATAAGATAATAAACGGTATGGCCGAGCTGAATAGGAGGCTCGATCTCAATCTCGGTCTCGCCGAGATATTACATCAATACAGCCTTAGCAAAAATAAGGGTGGGTTTTGCTGGTACCTGAAGGTCAAGAAGGGCCGAGCAAAATTCATAGAGGGTAACCCAAATAAGGAGACAAACGACGATGACTTCTTGTGGGTGTCCGGTCATTATGAGGACACCGAGGCGCCCATACCGGGCTGGTATATTAGGAAAGATTTTGACAGTGCTGGTGAGTAGCTCGGCAAACTGCACTATTTTCTTTTTGCACTGATTTTCTTCTTGCAGATCTAACACTTGTCCTCCTTTTTACAGATTACAAGCTCTTGGTCGACGACTACTCCCGAGCTAATCAAGAGGCCATCAGAGTTCTGCTTTGTCATCCGACCGAGGAAAGGGAGTCTCCAAAACTCCTCGGCTTCGAACCGACCTATCACTACACATCATCGCGCAAGAGCAGGGTGACTAACTTTCTTCGTGTGCCCTCTTCCGAACCAGATCCAAATCTCCCAGCGATCAAACTTGTTCCCTTCACCGCCGAACAAGAAATGGTAAAAATCTGGGCAATCAAATCAATGATCACCGGAGAACCGGGCGACTCCCAACCACCAGAGGTATCTGGGGGGACTTCCTCCACTCCAGCTGAGCAAAGGGAAGGGGCTGTGCTGGCTCTTGCAAGCGAACATCCAATAGGCCGGTCGAAGAAGAGACCGAGAAAAGACCAAAACGGGCAATAACTGGTCGACGAAGATTCAACCGAGCACGCATCCACCGAGTTGGGTGACCAGACCGAACAACTAATCAGCGGGCCATCCAAAACCCCAACTAGCCCCCCGATCTGGGCGCCCGAGATCAAGTACAAAGGCCGGGCTGTCTCTGAGGCCGATTCAGTGTACGCGGACAAGGATTACTCCCTCGATTTCAACATGACCAAGGGACTGATCCTTCCCGCTGACATGAAGAAGCACGACGAGCTGTCCGACTTGAAGGTGCTTCGCTCGGCGGCAAAATCGATCGTTTTGGTAAGTTTTCCACTCTTTTTTCTGCAAGTTGTTGACCGGTTTTTGCTTGGTTTACTAAACGCTTACAATCTTTCATTTGTTTTCAGGCCGTGCAAAAGAACTATTTAGCGCATGATCGAATGATCGCAGTGCGGCAGAGCCTGCGGGATGCCATTGTTGAAAACAAGGCCAAAACGGTCGAAATAGCCAAGTTGAAGGTCGCGCAAGAGGCGACCGAGGTCGAGCGCGATACGCTAAGCCAGAAGTTGGGCTGGGCTGAAGAGGATAAACAGCTGTCCGTGAAGTTGATGAAGGCTCGGTACCTCGTCGAGCTGCGCAAACTCCGCGATGCCCATAAGGAGGAGAAGGATAAGGTAGTTGACGCCGTTGAAGATCGGGGGTATGCACAGGGCGAGAAGACTTACGAATGGCAGGTTCAGGCGACCAAGGACATCTTTTTCCAGTGCGGTTGGAAAGATGCCGTGGAGAAAGTTGGCCTTGGTCAGGATGCGGAGATGTTCCAAAATCCGCCCGCTGCCTTCATACCGCCTTACATGCAAGCCTACGCCAGCGCCGCACAAAAGAGGCTCATCAAAGAGGCGAAGAAGGCCGCCGAGGAAGAGGCTAAGAAAATAGCTGAGGAAGAGGCTGCCGCCGCGCAACCTGCCGGTCAAACTTCTCCTGAGACTTCTGACCTGGCCGAAGATGAAGTGGCCGAGCGGGAGGGTGTTGCGGGGGAAGGCGCTGACGATGAGGCCGATGAGGGCTTGACCGAGCAGACAGTTGATCCTGCCGTGCAAACCGTTGACATCGAACTAGATTGACGCTTTCTCTTTCTTCCTTTCTGTCCCTTTTTTTTTTCTTTTTTTTTTGAATGTAACCGGGCTCGACCCCACCTTGTAATGCAATTTCCCTTATCAATGAAAATTTAAATTTGTTGCTCGTTGATTATCAATTTCTGCTCGGCTGCAACATGCAAAATTTCTTCATTCAAATGGTCACGAATCATAACTGGTAGGTCGGCTAAGCCGCGCCACATGCCAAGCTAAAATCAGTATTTCTTCAATTTTTGGATGAGCGTCGCATTTCACTTGGCCGAGCTAAAATCAGCTCGGACCTTGTAAGTGCTATAAAACACTAATATTTTGAAGTGATCGAGGAAAATTCAGCTCAGCCCAACAGTAGGTTGGACATATTGCCAAAATTTCACTTTGGCCGAGCAAAATACTGCTTGGCTTGCTCGAGTTGCGCGGCCCTTTTCATTTTGATAAAACTCCAGGTACCATGGCCCTTTCTCCGAGCGAAAATCATCTTGGCCTTCGGAGATTGGCAGAACACCAATATGTCCAAGTGGCTGAGAAAAACGTCAACATTTCATTTGTCCGAGCAAAGTCAGCTTTGCTCTTGTAAGTTGGACAAGACACCAACATTTCGTTGGGCCGAGCAAAGTCAGCTTGGCTCTTTTTGGCTGGATAAAACACCAATATTTCGCTTAGGCCAGGTAAAATCAGCTCGGCCTGTGAATTGGTCAGAACACCAATATTTCATTTAAGTTGGTCATGACGCCAACATCCCAATTGGGTGAGCAAAAATCAGCTCGGGCATTATGCAAATTGGACAATACACCAATTATTTCACTGGACAATACACCAACTGTTTGTGCGGTCTATTTCTATACCGGCGAGTGGAAATCAGTTCTTCCGGCGCAGGTTGGTCTTCCTGCCCCTGGCATCCATAGTGGTCCGGTAGCTTTGCCATGTCATTCGTACAAAAAGATATAATTTAAAAGAGCGATAGGGCTATTTTTTATTACAAAAAGCAGTGCTATCTCTTATATCAAGTGCCAAAAGGCTTAAGGTCTAGAAAGCTAAGCAACAAAAGCAATTACATTTTAAAAGTAGAAAATCTTAAGGTTGGCTGCATTCCATGGTCTGAGGATAGCTTTACCATCTAAGTCCTCTAGGTGGTATGCCCCTTTGCCTACTAGGCCAGTCACCTTGTATGGCCCCTCCCAATTTGCGCCGAGCTGTCCTTCGCCAGGGGCCACCGTATTGCCCATCACCTTTCTTAAGACCCAGTCCCCAATTTTGAACAGCCTGGGGTGCACGGCCTTGTTGTATTTCTTGGAGAGTTCTTGCTGATATGCCGCTATGTGGATCAGAGCCCATTCCCTTCTTTCCTCGGCTAGGTCAAGCTCCAATGCCACTGCTTCCTCATTCAAATCTGGCTGGAAGCTCTTAGACCGGATGGTTGGCATACCGATTTCCAGCGGGATAACGGCTTCCATGCCGTAAGCCAAGGCGAATGGTGTCTCCCCGGTCGACCGCCTTGGCGTAGTGCGGTATGCCCATAGCACATTAAGGAGTTCTTCAGCCCACTTCCCCTTGGCTTTCTCAAGCCCCTTCTTCAGCCCATCCAGGATGGTCTTGTTTGAGGACTCTGCTTGACCATTTGATTGAGGATAGGCCGGCATTGAATTGTAGAATTCGATCTTCAGCTCTTCGCAAAATCTGTGAAAGAGTTTTCCATCGAATTGAGTGCCATTATCCGAGATGAGGGCCTTGGGTATACCGAAGCGAGTGATAATATTTTGCCAGACAAACTTCTTCACATCCTTTTCCTTTATGGTCGCCAGTGGTTCAGCCTCAACCCACTTTGTGAAGTAGTCAGTGGCGGCGATGAAGAATTTGCGATTGCCCGGGGCTGCTGGGAGTGGCCCCACTATATCCAATCCCCAGAGTGCGAACGGCCAAGGACTTGTAAGGGGGAGCAATTCTCTCGCTGGCTGGTGGATCTGGTGAGCAAATTTCTGGCACTTTTCACATCTGCGAACATATTTCTGTGCGTCTGCCTGCATGCATGGCCACCAATAACCTTGGGAAATTGCTCGGTAAGCCAAAGATCTGCCCCCAGTATGGCTGCCGTAGATGCCTTCATGGATCTCATACAGAAAAGCTTCCACCTTGGTTGGGTGAACACACTTCAGATACGGCTCGGTAAAAGACTTCTTATACAAGGCTCCGGACGGGGAGAGCCAAAACCGCTCTGACTTGGCCCAGATCTTGTTGGCCGCCTTCTTTTCTTGCGGTAGAACTCTATCTTTTAGGAAGACAATGATGGGGTCCATCCAGGAAGGACCCAAGTCGGTGCAGAGTACCTCGGTCACTTCCGGTTCCTCAATGCTTGGCCGAGGTAAAAATTCTATCATCAAGGGGTTAGGAAAAACTGTCTGAGTAGAAGCAAGTCCGGCCAATTCATCAGCCGCGTTGTTTTCCTCGCGGTTGATTTGTTCCATCCTTATTGCGGCGAACTTCGTGATCTCTGCGCGTACCAGCGCCTAATACTTGGCCATTCTTTAATCCTTTGCCTCATATTCCCCTGAGACCTGATTGACCACCAGCTTGGAATCGCTGAATGCCATCAGGGCTGACACCTTCATTCTAAATGCGCTTCTTAGTCTGGCAAGGAGGGCTTCATACTCCGCTTCGTTGTTGGATGCTGGGAAGCCGACCGTAATTGCCTGCTCGATAATCAGCCCATCTGGTGAAGTCAGTACGATACCCAGCCCGACCCCATGCCTGTTGGATGCCCTATCAACGAAGAGCTTCCACATCTCGCCAATAAACAGTTTCCAGCAATCAGGAGGGTTCTGGGAGCTTCTCAATTCCAAGTCTCTGATCGGTTCATTCTGGTCTCTTTCCTTGTCTTGATTGAGCACGTCTTCCAAGAAGTCACCCAGCTCCTCTAGTTCGGTCGCTCTTCGACCTTCTCCCACTTTTGAGCCAACACTCGTCTCTATTGCCAGAACCATGGGTTGCGCTAAATCCGCACCAGCCAAATCAACCGGGTAAATTGGATGCGTTCCAGAGGCGAATTCTGCCACAAAGTCTGCAAGAGCTTGAGCCTTGATTGCGGTGCGCGGGCGGAACTTGATATCTACTGCCCCAATTCCATGGCCCATTTCAAAATTCTTCTGGTGAAGTCTGCCTTTTCAAAAAGCAACTTAAGTGGGAACTCGGTTAACACAACTATTGTATGGGCATGAAAATAGTGCGCCAGCTTTCTTGATGTCATCATCAGGGCCAGCGCTAATTTTTCCAGCGGAAGATACCTCGTCTCGGCCAGGAGCAAAGTCTTGCTTACATAGAAGATGGGCAAGTGCTAGATGCCTTCAGCACAGACTAGGACGGCGCTCACAGTATGTTGAGAGACTGCCAAGTAGAGATACAACTCTTCGCCCGGCCAAGGTGTGACTAAGATAGGGCTGAGGAAAGGTATATTTTTAAGTCTGTCAGTGCATGGTCACATTCGTCATCCCAAAAGAACTTGGCCTTCAAAGTTTTAAAGAAGGGCCTGCAACGATCTGAAGACCGGCTGATAAATCTGTTCAGCGCGGCTGCCATCCCGGCAAGATGTTGCACGTCCTTCGTGGAGTTTGGGCACTCCAGCTCTTGTATAGCCTTGATCTGTGATGGGTCGGCTTCAATCCCTCGGTTTGTGACCAAAAACCCCAGAAACTTCCCGGTGCCGACTCCGAAGGCCCATTTGGAGGCATTCAAACGAAGTTTGTGGCGCTTAAGTATGGCAAACATTTCTGCTAGGTCGGTGAGGTGTTGAGACTTCTCCTTACTCTTTACCACCATATCGTCGATGTAGGCCTCCATTGTTCGGCCCAAAGAAGAGCGAACATCTTTGTCACCATCCTCTGAAAAGTTACCCCGGCGTTCTTCAGTCCGAACGGCATGACTTTATAACAATACAGGCCTCTAGGAGTAGTGAACGACGTGATCTCTCGGTCCGGTTCATACATGGCTATCTGGTGGTAGCCACGATATGCATCCAAGAAGCTAAACCTCTGATGGCCAGCGGTCAAGTCCACCAGCTGGTCAATTCGAGGGTGGGGGAAGCTATCCTTTGGGCATGCGCAATTAACTGTCTTGTAGTCAACGCAGACTCGCCACTTGCCATTCTTTTTCGGGACTACCACCGTGTTGGATATTCAACGAGGGTATTGCACTTCTTCTATCGCTCCTGCTTCCAACAGATTTTTGACCTCTTCTGCCACTACCTCGGCATGGTGCAGAGCCGAGCGGCGAGTCCTCTGAATGACCGGCCGCGCATTTGGGAAAACATTCAACTGATGGCAAATGAAGTTAGGGTCGACGCCAGGCATATCGTAAGGCGTCCATGCAAAAGCCTCCACGTTAGAAACCAAGAAGTTGTCATAATCCATCTGCTCGGCGCTAGACAAAGATGATCCCAAGAGGAAGAACTTAGTTGGGTCATTCTCGTCGATGCGCACTTCCACCAAATCCTCGACCGATTTTTCCTCGACCTTTCTTCCTACGTCTTCAAGGACCTCCTTTCCCTCGGGTCCCTCAATCATTTGGACAAATCCTTTAGCTGCTCGGCTGCCATTTACCGCAACGAAGCATTGTTTCGCCATCACCTGGTCTCCCCAAACTTCATCTATTTGTCCGTTTGGCGCTGGGAAGCGCAAGACCTGATGGTAAGTCGACGCTACTGCTTGCATGGTGTGCAACCAGGCCCTGCCTAAAATTAAGTTGTAGGTGGATGGGACTTTGAGCACCCAGAACTCTACTTGCTTTGTGACTGAACTCGCTTTGACTGGCAGTATGATCTTCCCTACCGGCCATTCTCGCTGAGAATTGAAGCCAACCAAAGGGGACGTCGCAGGGGCCAAGTCTTTGTCCTCCAACGTCATTTGTTTGAACGCGTCATAGTACATAATTTCTACCGAACTCCCCTGGTCGATCAAGATCCTCTTGATGTCAAAGTCTTTGACGCGAAGAGTTACCACTAGGGCGTCATTGTGGGGCATCTGGATCCGCTCCAAGTCCCTGCTCGAAAAGGTAAGAATGTCCTTCTCCTCGGTCTTCCCTTTCTTCACAGCGGGCCGAACGGAGAGCACTTCCCTCATGTGCTTGGCTTTCTTAATCATCCCTATGAGCTCGCAGACCCTTGCTAGTTCAACGATGCCATGGATGACGTTGATTACGCCTTGGGGTGCTGCCTCTAGGGCGGCCAGGCCGTTTGGCTCGGTTTGCCCCAATGGCGCGGCTTTCATACCCCCATCTATGTATTGGTCAAGATGTCCTGCGGCCACTAGCTCTTCCAAATGTTGTTTGAGCGGCAAGCAGAATGTCCTTCTCCTCGGTCTTCCCTTTCTTCACAGCGGGCCGAACGGAGAGCACTTCCCTCATGTGCTCGGCTTTCTTAATCATCCCTATGAGCTCGCAGACCCTTGCTAGTTCAACGATGCCATGGATGGCGTTGATTACGCCTTGGGGTGCTGCCTCTAGGGCTGCCAGACCGTTTGGCTCGGTTTGCCCCAATGGCGCGGCTTTCATACCCCCATCTATGTATTGGTCAAGATGTCCTGCGACCACTAGCTCTTCCAAATGTTGTTTGAGCGGCAAGCAGTCCTCCATGCGGTGTCCCCGTTCCTCATGGAAGGTGCAGTGATACCTTGACTTGAAGCCTCTCTGTGCATTCCCCAACTTAGCCGGCCAGCGGACAAAAGGCTCGCCTCTGATCTCACTAAAGATGCGGTAGATAGGGATTTTGAAGACCGTGGTGATTCCAGTCCGCGCCTTCAATTTTCTATTAGCATCCTCCGCTGCATCACGGGGAGCGTCAGCTCCGTCGTTTCTGCGACCCTTGTTTCTGCCATCGCGGTTTGGGCCATGTCGTTGATCTCTTGGCCGGTCGCTTGGGCGGTTATCCTCCTGCCCGACCGAGTGAACTTTCCCTGCTACCCTTCTGTCCGCTGCGACCGGATTAACCTTCTCGGTCGCAGAGGCAGCATCATCCTCCACACGAATGTGTTATTGATCCGCTGCATCAAGGACTCCATGGTTATGAGTTGGTGCATTGGAGCGAATCCCGTAGCCTATGCCCGACTGGGAGACCCCTCTTGTATTGAGCGATCGCCAGATTGGTAGGGCAGTCGAGGATTTCGTTGTAAGTTTCCCAGTACTTCGCGTTGTATGCCTTCAATGATCCCCCTGACACCATCTTGACGCCTAGAAGATGATCGACCTCCTTCGGCGTTCGAGTGTTGGTTTTGAATTTGGTGACGAAGGCTTCCGCTAGTTGTTGTCACCCCTCTGTACTCCCTTCTGGAAGCCTTTCGAACCACTTCAGGCCCAGTTCTCCCAAGCATGTTGGGAATATGAGGCACATCAAGGCGTCATTGCGCCGGTGGCCAGCCATTACTTGCCGGTAATGACTCACGTGCATGTACGGATCCATCTTATCGTCGTACGAGGTGAACTTAGGCTGGTGGAATCCGGCAGGGAGTAGTGTACTCTCGATCTCCGGAGACAACGGCGTGGCTGTAAGTCTCGCCAGCTCTTTGTCCACTGACGCATGGGCCATCACTCTGGGCACTGGCATCGCCACTTCTTCGCTACAGTGAACTGGGGCGCTCAACCTCTGCCACGCCGGCACTCTCTGAGCCTCTCGACGGCGCGCCCTCTCCTCCAATACATCCCTCAGGTCTCTGGAACGGGTGGAGAAAGAGTATCGTGACGTCAGAGAATGGCGTGAGGGACGGTATGTGCTGTCTCGAGTGAGGGATCTGCCCTTCCTTCGATCGGAATCTCCAACCCCATAGTTCCTGGTGATGGAGAGAGAGTGGGTCCTCTCCTGGCAGCGACTGCTAGAACGGGGGGACGGGGTGCGCTCACTGAGGTTGCCCTCTCCAGTAACACCCTTCCTCTTAATCTGACGTTTCAGCATCTCCATCTTCGCCGTCATCCTGCGAATGAGGGCGTCTTGGTCTTTGAGTTTGTGCTCCAGGTGCTGTGCACGGGACTCCCCCCATCGCCGTCGGCCCTTTGGACTCTTCAAGCGATCAGTACTCCTTCCGCGTTTGTCTCGCGCGCCTCGCGAAGAAGTTTCTAGGCTCGCCATGGCTGGAACATTCGGGGGGCCTTCTCTCCATCGGACAGACTCTGGTGTGACGCCATCGACGACGGACAGTGGAGTCTCGTTGTTGTTGGCCATGAAGATGGTTGAAGAAGCTTGAAAAACAAGGTTTGAGTATCAAAGAGCTACTCCTTCCGCGTTTGTCTCGCGCGCCTCGCGAAGAAGTTTCTAGGCTCGCCATGGCTGGAACATTCGGGGGGCCTTCTCTCCATCGGACAGACTCTGGTGTGACGCCATCGACGACGGACAGTGGAGTTTCGTTGTTGTTGGCCATGGAGATGGTTGAAGAAGCTTGAAAAACAAGGTTTGAGTATCAAAGAGATTCCCACAGACAGCGCCAATTGTATGGGGGCGAAATATCCTCTACTTTTCGTACTCCTTGGAGTTCAAGCTTCACGTGACAGCGTTTAACCTGGCAACATAGAGAACGGTGAGCTGCCCGGCGGTGGTGTGCCGGATAGACCCTCCGACGACCAAATCAGATCACTTGAGGAAGAAGAAGAAGGCCGTTAGAGAGAGAGTATGTTTTTTGATGGCATCAATTGCTTACCTCTAACGTTCATCTTCCCCTCCCTTTTCTAGGCTGGCCATGCAGCCATGCAGCCTCCGATCATTCTCGTCATTCTCATTTATGATCCATCATATGTGATGATGTCTCTATTTCTTTCTTCTCAGTGAGTTTTATTTTATTTTATTTTATTTTTAAACTTTTACTTTACCTTTGTTTTCATAACATTTTTTAACTATATTATTATGGATTCATGTTTCCTAGTCGTAGCTGTGTTAAAAGAAGTGTGATGGAGATAACCAAAATGGAAAAGATTGAAAATTAGGACAGAAGATTGCATGCAGTGCCATTATAGGAAATCAAATGGAAATCATATGTTTGCTAACATATGACCAAGGCATTACCAAACAGCACTTAATACATGTTATTGGCACTAAGATGTAAGGCTCTTCAATATGAGACTATGCAGTTTAAATGAATTAGAGTCCATCCCAAAAACAGAAGAGGAATTGAACTTCTGATTCACCTCCCCTTCCCTCTAAATGGCTACAACTTACAACTATTGGCTTGAGTATAATTAGCAGGAAAATTAATCCCCCTATCGGTAAATGCAGTTCCTAAGCATGTTCCCAAAGCAGTGACAAATCTTTGGTAAATTATGATGGTTAAAATCTGCAGGCATCATCTGTTATTTCTAAAAGCCAGCATAGGAGCATTTTTATCACATTATTAGCTCAGATTAGTTTCAACAATTCTTTGCCCAAAAACAGATACCATCATACCATAGATAAAATACTACCAATTTTTCAAAACAAATTTCAATATGATAGTACCTAACCCATCGTTGAGGTTACTAGCTACAGAAATTAGGAACATGATCTACAAACTTTTCATCTATGGCAGAGCAAAAAAAAAAAAGGACAACAGATATTATATTTCATCTAGCTACAGATACCATGCATATGGCAGAGCAAAAAAAAAAAAAAAGCAGAACAAAGCAACAAGACAACATGCAGAACAAAATGCAGCACCAAGACAGATCAGAAGAGAACAGGCCCAGAAATGCAGCACCAAGACAGATCAGAACAGCAAAACAGAACAGGTCTAGAATTGTAGCACAGGTCCAAAACAGAACAACACCAAGACAGAACAGGTCCAAAATTGTAGCACCAAGATAGAGCTAAAAGAACAAATCAGAACAGCAAAACAGATCAAAACAAGCCCAGAATTGTAGCAAAACAGATCAGAACAACACCAAAATGCATCAGAACAAGAAGAAGACTACTAGAACTAGAAGATCAGCACCAGAAGATGACTAATAGATCAACACCAGCAGATCAGCATCAGAACAGTGATTCTGATTTGTGGGAATTCTACAACTGGGCTTCAAAATGCAAGATGACTACTAGGACCTAGCACCAAGGCAAAATCTGATTTGTGGGAAGCTGAATAAGAAGTCATTAATTGAAAATGGACAACTCTTGAGCACTAGACCAAGTACTAGACCCCCCAACTTTTTCATGACAAAACCTAACAACATTAAAATCCCCTATCCAAACAGATACCATGTTGGACTACTGGGAAGCAATATCAACCAAAGTGTCAAAAAAATAACTTCTCAAAATTTGAGTGTTCTCAGTATAAACAAAACCAGCAGCAAATGTGTTTTATTCATGTTGTGCTTTGTTTCCTTCAAAACATATTTTGAAATGTCTAAATGTCGTGTCAGATTAACAATCAGCACAACATGAATAACAACCAAACAGCAGCACACAAAAACAGCAGTCAAGCATCAAGCAGCCAAAATGGACAAAAACAGCAGCGATTTGTCAAATTCAACAAACAGAGACAGAGCAGAAAACCAGTAAATCTGCCACAGATTGTGGGAAAATTAGCCAAACAGCACAGCTGACTGAATGGAAAATCTAACATGAGTATGAATTTGATTTTCAATTTTTTGACAAAGTTCATAGAAATCGTAGAGGAAATTAATTACAAGGGTAATAAGTTCATAGAATATGAATGTACTTGGGAAATTGGGGTCCGAACAAGAAGAAGAATAAGAAGAATCAATACATAACTAGTCTAAGCACCATATTCTTTATTGCCCCCATTACATCAACAAAACAAGCCGGACAAAGAAACAAACTGAGTTAAAACTCTAGGTCCGTATCTGTATCAAAATCACTTTATATCTCATCTTCTTCTTCGTCATCACCTACGATTGTTAGTTCATCATCGTCATCACAGATGAAAGCATCATC